TTTTTTACGTTTTTTACCTGCCGGACATGAAATTGAAAAAAATCCGGAAAATTTGCCACGTAGGAAAGGCGCCCGCTGCCGTGGCCTAGGTTTCTCACTGAAAATCCTCGTCCCCCGGCGGCACCTTTTTTTGAATTTTCTTCCTTTTCAACGGCGTTTTTTGGGAATTTGGGATTTTTTTTTGAATTTTTTCGCAATAATATTCGGAAAATAGATAACTTTTAACACATTTTAATGTAATAAAAATTTTTGGTNGGAGTCCCCCTTTAATCATAGTCCTTGTAGACCCTAATACAACACTTCAAAACTGCTGAACAGTGCTGTACAGTGATTCGAACTTGAAATTTTTTTTCAAAATTTTTGAAAAAAAACATTTTCTCAAAATTTTGCTTCCACTTTTTTAAAAGGGATCAATATTTTGAATAATTAGAAAAAATGGCTCCAGAATGTCGTAATTATAAAAAACCAAAAAAAGAATCCAAGAGTGGAAGTCGAACCAACGTACCTACACAGGTCCTGGGCGATGATCGCATAAAGGACCCGATCCATATGCGATCCTCTAGAAGTCCGTTTGACACATATCACGAACAATGAGTCGCGATGAGTCTTATATGTGTGCGATGCGGGAGAGGCTGAATCGAGTGTTCCGAATGCGCGCGTATCCTAGATGGATTCTAGGTGGGTGGGCGATGTGTGCGATATGGGTCTGATACGGTAGGCCGACTACAACACTCCGAAATCCCGGATGCGCGCATTGTTTACCGTAAATCCACACCGGCAACTTTGTCAATTTTTCGTCAATTCGAGCCTACATTTCTGATGTTTCGATGTTTTTCTTGAAAAAAGTTATGTCACACTGAAAAATCGCTAAATTCTTGTCAAAACATGTCTTTCACTCATATATTTCCATGTTTTTCGGTAAAATAGGTGAAATTGAGAATTTTCTATCTTCACTTTGTAATTATTGTAAAACTGGTATTTTCAGGTGGAATAAAAGGTAAGTTGGTAAGTATACAATAATTACAAAGTGCAAATCAAGAACATTTTTCAATTTTTACATGTAATCTCGAAGAAAAAGTGAAAGTGAGACATAGTTTTCGAAAAATAAAACTTTCTCTAGTGATTTCTTTCTTCTTTTCTTGTGATTTTGAAATACGAATTTTCATCTCAAATTTCGAGTAAAACTGCCATAAGTCTTTTTCAAGATCAAAATATTAAGTTTCGAAAAATCAGAAATATGTCGGTCGAAATATAAAAAATAGAGGCTTATTTATTAAGAAGTACGAAATTGGAAGACCTAAACAAGATCACATCACAATAGCACTCAATTGATATCTCTAGGAACTCCCACTGAACGGTTTAGTTCATTTTATCAAGTGCCAGCAAGCCAGGCGAGGAGATGCTTTGCGGCGGCGGTGTGCCCCATATGCCCCGTATATGCCCCATACCGGTGCCGTTTCCCTGTACCCAATTCATCGGCGCGTCCTTCATCTCCCATCCATTATGCGCATCATCGCCCAGGACCTGTGTATAGGTATACTTTCCATTCCTAACTACTACCCGCCTGAGCCACAAATCCACATTTTGAAAGGGGGTAGAAACGAAATGATAAAACGCCTGATTTTCCGCGTGTGAAAGGGGAGCGGAAAGAAGAAATCAATGGTAAAAATTGGGCAAACTTTGGACTGAAATTTCAGCACTTTATAGGTTTCTTAAGCAGATTTTAAAAACGGATTTATAGGTTTTGAAAGATGCTCTTTCATTCTCTACGGTTGGTTTATGCGAATCAGCCGGACAACTTAAAATGTTCCCTTGTCAGTCAAATAATTCAGAAGCGAATTTTTTCAAAAATCTCACGTTTACTGGGACGCGTTTTCTGACCAGTTGGCTTGCACCCAAGTGTAATTTCCTTTTGTAGTTTTTTTTTGCAACATAATCTGCATTTTGACGTGGATTTTTCAACAAAAAACTACAAAATACGAGGTTTTCTACAGTAATCTACAGTAATCAAAACACCAACCCGTCAAATTTCAGACATGAAAACCCGGAAAAATCGAAAAAAAAAACTTCAAAATAGCTGGAAAATCTAAAAATGTCTTAAAATTTCGAAAAAAATCGAAGAAAAAATCAATTTATTTTCTCGATTTTCGTGCAGTTTGTTTAAATTTTTTCACACTTTTTTGTGGAAATATTGTCTATTCAATAAAACGTGGGCGCGCCGCAGGTCGCAAAGTGACACGTTCCTTTATGAAACGCGTGAGAAGAGGG